AGGCCTTGAAAATAATGAAGAGCAATCTGTTCCAGTCCTCGCTGGTCACTAACTATTTGCCCGCCTGCATCTTGCAGTTCAGTGATAACATTTTTCTTTCTCCACTCAGAAGCTCTGGTATGAAAAAAAGACGTATTTTTGTCCCCTTCCTTGAGCCATTGGATTCAGGATCTCTGTTTCCAGTGAATCTCCTCTTGCTGTTGCAGATTCCATAACTCAGTCTCCACCTCCTCTAAGTGCTCCAAGCTACACTCACTAGCACTCCCATCACATAGTTTCTACAAGTTAGACTGCAATTTCTTAATACGCCCCGGGAGGTTTCCAAATTTATGGGCACTCCAATCCGGTAACAAGACACCACATCGAGCAATTTTGGCTAGCACTCGGTCCATCATCGAGGCACTCATTTCTTGGCTCCATGCTTCCCTAACAATTGACTCACTCTCATCATCATTGAGCCAATAGTTTTCGAAACGAAATTGTCTATCACCTTTCCTACCAACGTGTTGAACCCTACGTTGGACTTTTAGTAGAATAGTTGAATGATCTGATCGCACAGTCAGAAGGTGGTGAGATATAGATCCTGGGAACTGTTCTTCCCATGCATGGTTCATGAGAACTCTATCAAGCCTTTCCCTCAAGACACTATCATGGTGTTTTCGAACAAAAGTAAAACGAGGTCCTTTATATCCTATCTCTAAGAGTTCACAATAGTCAATTGCTTTACAAAAGGATTGAATTTTGCATTAAGATCTAGGATTCCCACCCATCTTTTCTGACTGCTTCGTTATTTCATTGAAGTCACCAAGACAAACCCAAGGCAAAGTAGAAGATGATTTGAGTGATTTTAGTAGTGCCCAGGATTCATGATGCCTTCCGATTTCTAGTTGTCCATAGAAGCCAATCAAGTGCCATAGTAGATCTGTTAAATCACATATTTCCATATCAATATGAGATTGTGAGTACATGAGGAGGTGGATCTGGACGTCCTCAGTCCACAGGACTACCAAGCCGCCACTACGGCCAACACTATCTACTACAAAGTAGTTGGAGAAACCCACTTCAGACGGATTCGCTCCATCTCTGCTGTACTTCGTTTAGTCTCTGATAGGAACATAAGCTGGGGCTTCTGAGTTCGGATTATTTTTTGAAGTTCCGAGAGTGTTGAAGGGTTACCTAGGCCTCGGAAATTCCAAGCCAGGATTGTAACTGAAGACATAGCAATATGACAGAAACTAGATACAAGTCGGAAAGGAGAAAGGGAAAGGAGACCCTTGGATAGGGAGGAACGCCGAAGCGAGAGACTCACACAAAACGAAGGACAGGAAACCTAACCTTAGCCATCGGTCAGAGATCCTATAATTTTATTTTATTTGCTAAATGCCCTGAATATTAATTCGAAACGAACTGCTTTTTCGACTATGCTCAAAAACAAATTCCTTGATGGATACTCTAGATTTTAATTATTATTATGTGTTTATCGAATTCTTATTAAGTAGATTAAATATGTCCACTAAATACCTTTAAACTCAATTTGACAATAAGTAATAATTGATAAAAACAGATACTACACTCGATCTATTAAGAAAAGAAACAAGCAGTGACTTAAGTCTTAGAAAAATACTTCAAATCACAAACGAATGCCATGTGAACTTAAATTATACTCAAAGTGGTACTCAGTAAATTGATTCTTATTTATTCAATTATTCTAAGAATAAGGGAATAATGATTAATATGTAAATAATTTTGAATAAACATATTTCTAAATAATTATCATTAAAATTTAAGAATTATGAATGGTTACAAATTGTATAGAATATATAAACAATATATATCAACTTGATAATGATTATATCAACTTGTAAAAACTAATTTAAAAGGTACAAAATGGGTTCTAATTGAACCACCTTAGCATAAGTAAGAAGGAAGAGCACTTATAAGGAACCGTAAAATAAAAATAAAAATAAAAATAAAAATAAAAAGGCACTTCTATGAGGAACTTAAAAATGTTTTGACATTTTTTTTCTTAAGAGTCTAAACTATCAAAAATTTATGAAAATTGTAAAGTAGGAGCCCTTATAGATTTTCAAGTTAAACAATTCTAATATACACATAACAAGGGGAGGTGGAGAGAGAGGAAGAGAGGGAAATAGGAATAAAAATGGTATATAATGATAAAGACAAATGCAAGTAGTGATTAGGAAAGAATAATATTGAGGAAATAAGGATAAGGGGAGGAGAAAGATTAATAATAAACAAATTATTAATATACTAGAAAAAAATAAAGACAAATGTAAAGTAGATAGATAAATCTGATGATGAAATGTGAGAAAAGAAGTTAGGAAAAGGAATCCTAAGAAAAAAGAATGAAATGTGAAGTCAAGGTAAATGAAAAAGTACCAAGAGGAGAAACTGGCATAAAAAGTATATATATTGATAGATAAAAATCAAAGGAATGATTAAAAAAGAATAATAGAAATAAAAGAACAATGGGAGAAACAATAATAACAAATAAATTACTAACAAAAAAAAAAAGGGAAAAGGAGGAAAATAATGTAAGTTCTTTATCTTAGATTGGTTAAAACTTATAATGTGGATATGTATATAAATTTATTGCATATAGTATTGAATTATTTTTAATTTTAAGATCTTTATACGTCATTTTAATTTTGAGAAAATATAAAAATATCTAGTGATAAATAGAGAGAGAGAAAATTATTCAAAAAAATACATAATGATAAATAAAGATGCAAATGGTGACTAAGAAATAATAATAGAGAGTCAACAATAAGGAGAGAAAGAATAATAACAAAAAAAATTATGATATAGAAAAAAAATAATAAATAAATTATTAATAGAGAAAAAGAATGTAAGGGCAAATATAGTTTGAAGTGATAAATATAGTGAGAAAATGTCGAAGGTTGTTGCCAATTTTGGTTCCTCAACTTTGGGCTTTTGCACTGTTTTAGTGCCTCAACTTTTTTATATACTTTTTTTATCTATTAACTATGAAAAATACAATTTTTTTAGTCATTTCATCAATTAATTCATTAAGAATGTCCATATATGCACATTTTAATTCCTTGAACTTTTAAATCGAGGGACAAAATTATGCAAAATTTTAAAGTTGAGAAACTAAAAATGTGTATATATAGACAAACTAACGGACTAACTAACAGAAGAATTAAAAATGTACATTTTTCATGGTCAAATAATAAAAAAAGTGCATAAAAAAGTTGAAAGACCAAAACTATGTAAAATCCTAAAATTGAAGGACCAAAATTGACACTGAACTAATGTCGAAAGATAAGTTTAAAGATAATGTCACAAGAAAACACTACAAAAAAATTCACATTTAGTGATTAAATTATTGATTATTAAATCTTTATTTTTTGTCACAAATTATTATTAGTGATAAAATTTAAATCATTAGTAAAACCCTTGCCACTAATGCTCTTAGTGACAAATTAGGCACCTGTCACAGAAAATAACTTTACAGTGATAAAAAATTGACATTGTTAACAAGTTATTCATAACAATTTTATTCGTCACAAAAAAATATTCGTCGCAAATGCAATTATAATGCAAAATTTAATCATT